ACACACACACACACACACACACACACACACACACACACACACACACACCAACACTGTTTGCTTATCACGCTTCCATCTGATTTTCCCATGACTCCACATTAAACATGTACTTCTCATAGAAGTATTGCTCAAAAACCTTAAGTTCAGGCCAACTACCTGCTGCTTTTGCTAACTTGACATGTGTCTGAGATATTTCAGCACATGTGGGGACAATCTCACATGCAGACTTTCCTCAACAGGCCTCAGTTCACTTAAGCTTACTGGTGCACATTTCACAAAGAAAAAGGGAAACGGACAAGCGAAACTTGAACACGAACCTACTGAGCGGAAATGTAGCAGGGACAACAACAAAAAGAGTGCTGCAGCTTTGACAGAGAGACGCCATGGCGGTTCCATGTCTGGCTCCTAATTCCTAAAGAACATGTTTATTCAGCTGAGGGGACATGTTGTCTATCACAGACTCATGCCAAGATTGCACTCAAAGAAGAGAATCATTGAAAATGTATCCTGGCCACAGAGTGAAAGAGCACAGAGCGGAGACAGGTGTATTCTCAAAAGTGTGTCTGCTTGTGGGGATGATTTGTAGTCAAGTCAAAGGGAAATGGGTGCAACTCCTAATGCCTAGTGTGTGTGTGTCCTGCATGTTAAACACACAGCTGATCTTTGCCATCACTGGATTCTCTTGTGTCCCCATACAGGGCACAAAGGGCAGATTGAAGAATCAAGAGCGTCTCGGCTCTCCTCTCCTCCATTTAGTTCATGATGAAGTCTCCTTTAGAAAAGGGCTTTTGGGTTGACAGCACTGCGCTTTTAAAAATGACTTTACTTAATGTAATTTTCAGTAACACAGCTAATGTTATCAGCTGTGTTAGCTGGTAGTGAGGTCCACTGAGGCTACAAACCAAAGCTGTGTTTCCCGCATTAGAGAAGACGGAGATGCAATATGAGTGTTGGCTATGTGACAGTACTTTGTATTGTAGCATAAGCCTGGAAAATAGTAATGTATCACCTTCTTAATCAACAAAGAAGCACTTAATCCATTCAAATATGTATCATTCTTCATTCGCCAAATGTACACAACAATTTGACTTGGTGAATGATACAGCGCATTAAAAGAATAAAGCTAAAGTTGAAAAGGTTAATATAAGAAGTTGAAGAAGGTTAAAATACAATAGTTATACACATTATCATATCCAAATTCAGAGCAATAAATATACTGCATACTACCTCAGGTATTACACAGTGCATGCATGCAATATGAATTTTAATTGAAGCACTACATTTTTAACAAGCTGTATCATCTTAACCAACAGAGCAAAGCAATAACACAGTTATTAGCAAATACATCCCATTTGCAGTCGTCCCATTTATCTTTGCCTATTGATCAAAACACTTTAGGGTGGTCAACCAAGATAACAGCATTAACAACTGTCTAAATGATTCAACACAAATTAAAACATGACCCATACTTGCAACAGTGGTATCAATGCATACAATCGTTGGCCTTAGCTTAGAGCTGTTAGCCCAAATAAAGCTGGAATTTCTCTCACTTTCAATAACAGTCTATTTTTAGGACTTTAGGGTTTTGCAAAAGCAATAAAAAAAGATCAACAGGTTGTTGTAAAGGGAGCACTGAGGAGGAAATTATTCGGTGGTTTGGTTAAGACATTGCTTTTACTTTTCAACCTGCTACCGCAGCCACGTCAAATCGGAAGAGAAATGTCCTTTCGGAAGTAAATAGATAACACTGTATACCGCTTATTAGTAATACATATACCTCAGCACTCGCTATATAAATATAGGCTTAATATCTGATACAGTAGGAGAGTGATTTCGTGTTTTTTAAAGCTGTTCTCTAACTTACTAAACATCTGGTCTCTCACTGAAACTTTGTTACGGAAGAAAATGACGCGTACGTCCAGGGGCTGTGACTGACAGCCAATGTGACCAATAGCATTCAAGGAAATGACCATAAACATTCCACGCAAGCCTAAAACAGCCAATTAGCGGGATGAAGGGTGCACTCTTCGAGGTTTCAAGTTAGATGGGTTACAGAGGCCCAAACCCCCGGGGTGGCAAAATAATAATCGCCGAGGAAAATGAACGATGGCCGGGGAGCTGCTGACCAGTAAGTCTGGCGGCACCGGACACCACCGGCTAGACAGCAGCAAGCTATGAACCTCTGCAACGTTAATAACATTTGATTCCTGGCTGACATGGCCATGATAGGGAGGGAACACACCAACAGAATAATAAGGAATAGCACCGGTTGTAAACAACGTAAATAAAAGCACCACCTACCCAGAAATTCTCTAGGAAGTAGGGCATTATCATCTTGTTTTATTCCTCTTCGCCGCAACTCTTAAATATGTTGTAAGGCAACTTTTGACGCGTAAATCATCCACCGTCCTCCCCCCGTTTCTGTTGTATCTGCCTTTCCCCGTTTTCCTCCTCTCCCCTTTCTTCTCCCTCCCCACCTAAAGACTCCACCTCCACCCGTCTGTATTGCATCTCTCTCCCCTATGGCTTCTTCCCGTTTACATTTTATGGAAGAAATAGCGCCTCCTTTGGCGGATTAACACTAGTTCGGTAAAATGCTGCCTTCATGTGTTTCACGTAAACTCCCGTACTCATGTAGGCTGTTGCAGTGGTATATTGAACGGAAGAAAGCTGCGAATTAGCCTAAAAACTGTCTGTCATAATTGACTGATAACATAAAAAGCGAAAAATAAACAGTTGCTAGCTCAGATACATACGAAATAACATAATAGTTTATTGTATCATATTAAGCCATTTTCCAAACAGCTGTGAACACAACTTGTGAAGTTTACTCTTCAATCATCTAATAATTCCGATTAATTGTATGTTTGTCAGGGAGGATTTTTTTACACATTTTCTTTAAACTCACAAAAAAGAAAAACAATGATTGATTATTTGTGGTACCATGGGTTGTTTAACATTTATGAATGTTATTTAACATTTTTTTTGATCAAAAAGTTAACTATAGGTTCATTGTTAACCCTCTATGGTACGCACTATGATGCCATTTTGCGGGAAAATATTTGGAGAGTTTTTTTTGTCATAGAATAGACCAAATAAACATAATCTAAAGAAATGTTCAAGAAATAATTATTGGGGGGTAGGCCTACTTTTTGGGTCCCAAACAACCGGAAATTAGAGCAATTTCTGAGTGCTGGGTTTCTTTCTCGACAATACATTGTCATATTGGCACAGCTTCTATTACAATAGTGTGTAGCGTTTGGACAATTAATAGGAAATCAGTGTTTGCGGTGCCCAAACAATTATTCACAAATGTTTCCTTTCTATCTTAATGCATGTGAAATGGGGGTGAATGGGGTGAAATTGTTCTTTTTAAATACAAATGAAGTAGAGTAAATACCTATGTATTAATGTTGTTGGTCTAATTGATAACTGACATGTATCTAAAGAAATGAGAGGGGGACACATTTTAAATCTTTGCCATTGTAACAAGAAGGGTTATCTATATAATATACAAAAAACACCTATTATTACAAATTTGACAGATGAATCAACACAAGTTTTGTCCCTGCTCTTGTTCATGTTTGTGCAGCTGCAGCGAGATGAATGCTCTACACTTACAAGAAACAGACACATATAATGTAAACAATTTATTGGAACAATGTACAGATTCAAGCAATGGTAACCAGTCACATCCACTATATCATCTTACAAATATTACAAAATTACTACAGTACAATATAGATTCTTTGCATGATCCAAAATATTTGGTGGCCCCAAAAGTATTACTTTTTTAAAATGTCAGCAGCTTATTCAAAAAAAGAAAATTCAAATCATGTCTATCAAAATCAAGTGTTTGCTTTTATTAGCAAAAAAAGGATGAAGGCAGATAGTCTAATCAAGTTCAAAGGCTAAATAAAAATACAGGAGTTCTTTGACCAGACATTCCTTAATATTGGTGGGCGCTTTTATAAAATACAAATTTTCAGTAAAGCTTCATAGAAAGTCGAACTGATGTTTGCAAATTATGCTTATAACATTATCTTTATGAGTTGTCAACCTATTTCTTTTCTTTTAAATGAGGTGTTACTGCTTCCTTTAGATACAGTTTATCTAATGCAAACACCAACAAAACCTCAACATATTTGCTCTCAAGGCATTGTGTACACATTACACTAAATATTTACCATAGTCTTATAACAATCACTTCTGACAAAAGTACATGAAGTATGTAACCATTTTATTCTTCCCCCTGCTTTGCAGCTGTAATCACATTTGACAGCTAGCAGTGTTGCACACATATACGATTAATGTCAATTAACACGCTTGTTTACCCATCTTTAATATGAAGGGCGAGATATTTACTAATCTTTAGTTGTTGAGAGGAGATGCATGAAGGCGTACACATGGGGGAAATGATAACAAATAACACTGGACACAGACAACCTGAGGTTAACACATAGAAAACACATATTCAAGTAGTGAAACACAACTACAATGTATAGCAGCAGTCAAGTCAGAAATACAGCACAGTAATGGTTCTGCATGTGTTTTAAAGACCTACACTCTCTCAATGACAGAATACCAGGACCGTGCGCACACACACACGCACATACACGCACACCCCATCAAGCCATGATTACTCCTCTTTTTTTGCATGCCAAACAGCTGGAATGAGACAAACAAAATCACTTCAAAACACAAAATGATGTGGCACATACAAGTATTTGCCTCTGTATTCCATGATGCATTATATCCTGTATTCAGTGTTACCTTATATTAATGTTAAATCTAAGAGATCAGTTATAAAATTTTAACGTTTATCGAAGACACTTTCAAAAGCGCATCACCCCATTACATGACTTATTGCATTAGGTAAATACATTTTAGCAGCAATACTTAATTCATTATCCCGTTACGCTAAGGTCATATTCTGAAGGGTTCGGCTACATCATAAATTTCAAGCACTTGCCATTTACATTTTAAGTGCATGTCATGTGCATCGTGAATGATTAAAATACTGCAGTTACTACTCTGGCCAGCAGAGGAAAAATTACTGGCAGGGCATATAAAAAAAATTAAATAAAAAAAATCGTACTATCTCTCCAACCCATCATGGAATACATTCAGGCTATCTGAACACTTACACACTTTTATAAAATATAACAGCGCAAAACAACCAGAGACGATAACATGTTGTAGTTTCACAGTATTTCAAAACTATACATCCAGCTATGGGGTAAACGTTTAGGGAGAACACTCCAGCAACATTGATGTGAAGTTATAAAAGTCCCAGTGTTGCAATACATGAATGGTTACTATGTTGTAATTAAAGCTCCCCTCCCCCTCCCCGTTATCCCCTTCCCACTTTATGTTGGGCTGTGAGGGGCCACCAACATGCAAGAGATGAAAGTACCCCACAAAACACAACCACCCAAAACATTATAGTCATCCTCAAGATCATGCTTTGAGCACAAGAAGCCAAACAACCAAGAAGAAAACGTCAGTACATTAACATATTGAACATTCATTCGATGGACTGCGTGGTTCTGACAGCCAAAAGAAACCACTAAGACAGGATTCGGGTCGATGTGTTGTCCCCTCCGTGTTTCTCCTTCGTGAGGTTCAGACAATATAAAGGATTGTGAAGCGTCTAAAGCTTTTCTGATGAATGTCCATGTCACATTCACGCCACAAGACCAAATTCACTCGGACGCTACATCACAGCCAAGATTTGACACATTTCCTTAAATTTGGTGTGTAAACCCAGTCATGCTACATTACATCTGTTTGCCGTAATTCTCTGGCAGAGGAAAACCAAACAAAAGTACTGTAAATAGATAAATTATAAGGTTGAAGAAGAACCTTATCGCAGGGCAATGACAGCTGTCAAACGCAACACACACCACTAATGTTCCACAGCTTTTCACAACGATAAAAGCATGCTACCTATTCCCAGAAAAGCTGCTTTTTTAAAGAAAACCTTGTGCTCTCCAGTGCCATAATTGACAGCTTTTGCCCTGATAAAAATTAGAAATACTTAAAAAATCTAATAACTATAAGGGTGATAACTAATTCTTGGTGATATGCAGCGTAATCAAATGAGTCGGGTCCAATATGATGCTTTATTAGCATCAGCTGCTATTCATTAGCTTTAAGCTGTCCTTGTATTAAGAGAAAATACCTTCTCCATTCTTCAAAGAACAGTCTTCAACTCAACTTGTAGAATTGAGATGTCATTCAAACGACCTTATGCCATCACTTGACATGATAATAAATGTGTATCTGCTCTGCACTTTTGTACCCAAATTGAAGAGCAAATGCTTAACCGAGCTTCCTGTTTTGCTTACAATTCTTTTCAGCAGTTCAGGTAACAGTAAAAAAGATTGTATTAATTGTTGAAAAAAAAGAAGGGTAATAGATTTCAATATTTCTGATTGAGATGTGATAACATGAATTTTCCTCCCATGATAAGGTTGTTTTGGCAGTCCCTTCCCCCCCTTGCCTGTGCATGGGGGCACCGAGCACTGCAGCTACCACCTCCCTCCCACCCCGTCCTTCAGGTCGGGGAAGGGTCCGCACCCTTCCCTCCCCTCAGCAGGCAGACCCTTCCCCCCAGTAAAGGGTAAAATGTTCCCTGGGTAAAAGAGGTTCCCTATATTGTCTCCCATAGTGAATAACCTGCACAGAGAAAGAGAAGGCTCATTAGAACACCATCCTGCAGCAACATTTGAAATAAAACACCGTCAAGACTTTTATTTTCAATGTATTTTGCAAAAGCACGTTCTTGGAGAGGAAACTGACCCCAGTGATGAGGCATGCTGCCGTGGAAACGGTTACACCCCGTAAAAGGTTGCCAGGCGTTCTTTCAGTGGCAGGGGGAACTGATCTGAGAAGCGTCTCCAGTTGTCCTCGCCCACCTGGTTCTTAAAGCCGTGAAGGATCTGAAATGAAACACCGGGAGAATTTCAAACAAGTTGTAATGACGGCTGCGTTCAAAATAGATCTCCTGCACGATGGGATTATTATTGGCGTCAATTGTAGATACTGTAATTCCTCCATTTGACCACTGGTGGGCAGACAGGAGTAAATGGTCTCAGTGCATGATTAATTCATGAGGGAATGAGATCATACTTTTGAATTGTGATTTTATCTAGTACATGTTGGCACTGTTCCGCTTTTACCTTGTAGAACATGTCTCTTAGATCGTCCTTTGGATTTACCCAGGACGCCACTGCGTCACAGAAGAATATAAAGTCCTGTTCCAGAGAAGACAGGTGAGCCAACATTTCAAATGAGGGAAACAACATAATAAACACAATCAAATGGTGTCTCTGGACCTCACCTGCACTACACCTCCTGGATTTACACTGATCATAGTGCAGATTCCTCTGAACGCAGAGTCTTTCTCCTCATTGTCTCTTATATTTCTTAGAGAGGTGCACCTGACAACAGGGACGACCACATGTATCAGACATTCAAAAAATAAAAACTATTGCCACTATGAATGCAAATACCTATAATGAATATACTATCTTTATATTTTAGATAAATAATCAAATATAGCCTATTTCCAACCTTAGTACAAACATACTGTTGAGGTATTTACTCATTATTGTCTTTATCCTTAAACATATCATTGACTCTATGTGAGGAGACATTTGTGTCTATCATGACCTGAGAGATAACCACAACAAGTCAAGCATGCACACAAAACATAAAACTTGTTTTTCTACTTTTAACAACTCATTTGATCTCTTATAACCTTTGTCTATGAGCAGTGTGTTCAGCAAAACCTCATCTATAGCACCTTAACAATAACATTACTTTTTAAATATGTCTAAAGGAGGTCTGGGTCATTTTTGGGACAGGCACATGCAGCTGGGTGATTACTATATGAGAAAGGACATGTAGCATTTTGTATGCTCTATCTGCAGCAAAGACTGCATCCTTTCTCGAGTTTTTTTTCTGAACCAGCAGGCATGTGACAAATCTGATCCCATGCATCTTTTAGGTTAACAACAGTTAACAATGACAGAAAACTAGAAATTAAACAAATTAATGTATAATACATGAAGGTGCTACTGAGGCAAAAACAAATCACAAGTAAGACCTAAAAGAGGACAGGGTTAGTCACATGGTTGGCAATGATTACAAACTGATATCAAATCAAAATAAAAACTGAAAAGACTTTTGTTTGAGAAGGAAAGTGAGGAGAGGAACAGAGCAGAACAGGGAGCGACAGGAGACAGACGAGAAGAGAGGAAGAAAGCAGAGAGGAGATGAATTAAATAAAAGATTGAATAATACACACCAGGGTCTTATAAACTGCTGTAGCATGGGTGCCACCTCTTGAGGACAAACGTAACCAAGACGACCAATTGTTATTGCTAAGGTAACGCAATCACGGTTACACACCACCAAACGCCAACCAAGACATGAGCAATGAGGAGGGGGAGGAGAAAAATAAAGAAAAAACAAACAACTCAGAGACATAAATCAACAGAATCTGTGTATGATAATTAACAGAAGATTTCACTGGTGTCGATTATTACTGCCCCTTTTATCACGGGGAGGAATGTAAAATATGACACTCTAAAAAAAACATACAACACGTTTAAGGGAGAACACATTGACAACTTTGACAGGACATTCATAGAAAAAGGCAAACAATGGCATCTGCTTTCACAAATCATATGGATCGAAAGTGATTGAAATTCATTAGCTTGATTTAAAATGTGAAGACACAAGCTAGCAAGCTAAGTTAGCATGTGTATGTTACTGGCTTCAACAAGAGCGATTCAGAGATTTCTCCCTTAAACTCACAAATTGTTCATAACAAAAACAGAAATGTGTTTGTTTTTTTGGTTCTTTCGAAAAGAAAAAAGGACAGTTTACTCCAAGCCAACTACATGGATGGAGACTAGTATCCAGCACAGCAGGTTCTTATGAGGCAGAGAGGAGGGAGGACCTAAGTTTAAGAGACACAAAACTATGTGACATTCTCATTAACAAACAGGCATTTATGAACAGTCCAATGACACATGCGGAAAGCAGATGGTATGCTCATTAGAATAAAGTTCGGTGCAGGATAAGCTGATCAGAGACAAACTGAAAAGTGCCACCACGCACTCTGCCACATCTGTGGTGGAGGTCGTTTAAATTTAGCTCCAGTGATAACCTGGAAAATCTCTGACAGACATAAGAAAACTTAGATTTTGTGAGAAATGTTGTATCAACGGAAGAGGGATTAGGGCCATATGAGAAACATTTTTTAGGATGTGATGAAAAAAAAAACTTTTATCTCAGAATTGAAAAATATTTCTTGTTTTTTTTAATCTATTATGATATTTCTGGAAATAAAAATTATGTGAGAATTAATTTTTCCTGTTTTTGTTGTTTTTATATTTTCCTTTTTCCCCCCCAATTCTGAGATTAAAGACAGAACCAAACTTCTTCTTTTAACTTTTGGTCACATCCCAATATGTGTTCCTCATTGGCCCTAATCCTCTTCCCTAAATATCCTTTAGGCCCATGTTGTGTTTTCAATTAAAACATTGAAAACAGGGAACAAATGGTCAAATATATCTTGGGTCAGATGAAAACATTCAATGGGCATGACACCGTTATAATTATCATGTATCCTGCATCAAACATTGGCCATTCTTAACAACATTTAACATCTATTGGCAGATTTGCATCCACATTTAAACAACAGTAAATAAAAGCAACAAATAAACTGACAGCAAACAAACAGGAACACATCTACAGAGTCCCTAGAATTTTATTAATTTAGACAGGTTACACTTCGCCCTTGAATGCATCTTTGTTGGTCTCATTAAATCATAATTTCCAATTGAACTGGTAAAAACAAGAGCACAGTGTAACCTTTTTGAAATGATATATTTCATTTATTCAGGTTAGGTGTTCTCTCAATCATTAATCAGTAGTTATTGTTTAAGTGTTGATGATTGTCCTACGGTAACAGGTAACTATGTAAAGCTGTGAACTCACACACTTCCTTTCTTCTGTTTCAGTATTATAACTCCTCCTATGTGTGCACATTAGTATCTTCCAAGACTGGGCACTTACAAGGCTCGCTGGATTCAAGTATTTCACACTGGGGCTCGCCCGGGGTCTCACTTTCTTTTATCTCTATTTCCAGGCCACACTGCCAGGTTGCAAATCACTATCTGAAATATTTAACTTTGGAGAAACCAGCCAAACCTGTAAGGCCCGTGGCTTGGGAAGGGTTGTTTGGAGGAACATTAAAGGGTAGGACAGGCTCCCTAGAGAGTGCTGTGATTCCTGGCTGGAACTGAGTGTGTGTGAGCACCTCCCTGTGTGTGGCGGCTGGCTCAGTACCGCCACCGAGTGGTACCTGTGTTCTCCAGCAGGGTCTTTGGGGTGTTGGGCCTGTTAATGATCTCCACCAGCTGGTGCAGCACCATGGCAATGTACGGCTGCATTTCAGAGCCTGGGGGTGTAGGAACAGTAAGAAAACCATGGAAAGAAATGTGTTCACTGTTAACTAAGGTGACTGTATTCTGACAGCAAAATATACACAGGAAATTGTGATATATTGTGGTAAGAAGAGGAAATTCAGGCACTCACCCATTTGTATAGATATTTCTCCGATTGCCCATGTTGCGTTGTTGCACACTGATATTAATTCTGGGTTTAAATTAGTACCCAGTATGGGCATGAAATCAGCTGGAAGAAAGAAAGCGAGTTCATTTAGCAACTGACATACACATTATTTCCAAATAAATGTTCAAAGGCCCTATCACGCTCATTTTCATGTTTGATTTTGTGTCTCTACTGGGACATGTCTCCATGCTCTAATGTTCAAAAAGCGCTTTCTTTTTCTCATACTGCCTGCACCTCTTTTCACCCTCAGTCTGAATCCAGAGCCCAGTCTGCTCTGATTGGTTAGCTCTGGTTAGGTTCTGTTTTGATTGGTCAGCTACTTTGAGTGTTTCGGATTGTGATTGTAGCCTTTGCAGACCATTTACATGCATAAAACCCTCTAAAACGCACTACAGGAAAAGGGAAACCCCAGGAGGCATAATAGGGCCTCTTTAAGAGTGATCTTGAGAGAACATACCGATGCATGGTTTGACGTGTTGGAAACAAGCCTTGGTTAAATCCCCTAGCAGAGCAAAAGAACTCTGACGCACTTCTGGCATTTTGTCCTGAAGGGTTGCAGAAAAAAACAAAAGGTGAACAATGCGAGACTTAATCAGTTTATCAGATTAGCTGCTCAAGTTGTTCACTCCCCTCACCTGCATGCACTGGTACATAAGGGTGAGGATGTTGCTCCGAGCAACCAGCTCCTCTATGGTGCCTCCCAAACCCTCAGCCAGTCCACTAAGGAGGTCCAGAGCCACGATCATGAAGTCTTTGTCTGGAGCCTCATACTGGTCCGGCTGTGACTGATAAAGCTGAATAAAAATGGTTGCATTACATTCACAGGAAATGCTAAATCAGGGCAACTACATAGCAAAAAACACGCTGGGGAAGGGACTTTCAAGTATGTTTATTTATTTATTCAGGCCTAGTTGTCCTATAACTGCTGTATCTATTCACTCCCTTTTTTAGCAGCCTATATAAGCATATACAGCAAAACTATGGGAAATCTAAAATCATAACTAGATACTTAAATAGAAAATATTCGCAGATTTCACGAGGGGTGATTGTTCAAATCTGTTATCACAGAAACAATAGAAAATAATTCAGTCCCGATTGGTATCTGATGATAATCAACATTAACCGGTTTTGACGCCCACGGCAGAACATCGCCTGGCTTCAGTGCACATACTCCTGTCAGTTCCTCCATACTTGGGGTATTATACGAGCTGCTGACTATAGATAAGAAGCTCATACTTCCCCACTTCAAAACCATCCCTTTAAGTTTAGCCCGTCTGTACAGAAGGTATCGTCAACAACAAAGGTGTCCGGCACCTTGAATGTGCTTTTTCTGCGTATAAAGAAAATAACAGGAGCCATACACACTCACCATGGCTTGAGCGAGGGTCTTCTGCACCAGGTTGACACAGCGTTGGTACACAGGCTCGCAGTAGGGCAGGAAGCCGCTCTGCAGTGCCGTGGCTACAGACGACAGACACTGAGGAAGGCAGGCAGGGGGAGACAAAGTCAGTGTGTGTTCATACACTCAGAACTGAGACTGACACAACGAGTCACCATCTGCATCAGAGACTCACTTCTAATAAAGGGAACAGATCTTTGTCTTCATCTTTCAGCTGGTTCCATTTTGCGATCAGTGGAGGCATCAACATCTGGATGTATTCCTATCAAATAACACAGACTCAATTAGCCTTTGCACAAAGAATATGCCATTTCGGAGTGGGCATGATCATAAAAGATGGTAAAGCACAAACCCAGACATTCAAACAAATCTATGAAGCCTGGGAGATGTGCTGATACTTTTGAACGATCATACATCTTATAAGATCTTATATATCTTATATACTACTAGCACAACAAAAGAGAAATGAGGAAGAAGGTTTGTGATGTCAGTGTGTGCTAATTTTATATTAACCTTAAATGTGAAGTCAAACTGAGTTTAGTTTTTTTCGTTCTGCATACCGGTTTATTGAGATGGTGCCCCACGGAGTCTGCGAGGGTTCCTATGGCGTCGTAAAGAATGAGCAGGTTTTTGTGCTGGTACTTGCTGAAAGCGAACACCAGGGTGTCGAGGATGAACGCCAGGTAGGGAACCAGCTCTGTGCAAGCCTCTTCCTCCAGAGTGGCGAAGGCACTAAAAAGGAGAGGGAAGAAAACATCATACAGCAAGCAGTACCTAAAGAAATATGCATGCGATCCCAACACCTGAAAGATTGTTTTATGTGTCAAATGACTTCATCAGCGCTTCTTGCTCACCTGCACGCAGCCTCCTGCACACGCTTGTTGCTATCGAGAATGCGTTTGAGCAGCTCCGTCATTAGAGGTTTCAGGTAAGTATCTGGGGGCTGGCTGACCACCCAGTGGGCATAGCGGCTCAGTGTCCAGCAGGTAATAGACCGCACCAGGGCCTTCTTGTCAGACAAACACTGGACCAGATGGGGGATGAGCTCGGGCAGGTACGGGATCATGCCCTGCATACAGCCTGGAGGCGGGGGAGGAACAGAGTCATTTAAAGCTGTCACTTTCCATAATCTGGGGTCATTCTACACCTCGTGTTTTGTCCTCACTTCTTCTATCCCTTCTTACCTTCAGCTATAGCCCCCAGCACTAGGATGCCAGACTCTTTGACCACCCACTCGGGATGGAAGAGCAGCTCTTTGAGGAGGGGCAGGATGGGCTGCAGCAGGTCCTCCCTGAACACGTTGGCCAACACGTCCAGCGCTGCAGCCGAACACTTGCCTAATGTTCGGTGAACAGCAGAGGGACACACATACAAACACAGAAATGAGCGGACAAACATCAAACAGACATCACAGGTACAGAAGACAAGTCATTCATATTTTGTTAGCTAGCTTTGTACGAAAGACCATTCAAATGGAGGTTTTTGAATCATTTTGAAAGAAATGTTGGCACTGGCTCTGAACTCACGCAGGTTCCAATCAGAGATGGTATCGTCATCATCATCCAGCTCATCATCCTCATCGTCGTCATCCTCGATCCCGTCTTCCTCATGCTGCTGGGCGACTGTGCGGGAGCGATGGAAGCGCGGCCTGATGTCCTGCTCGTTGTCGGGAATAGCCTCATCTTCCTCGGTGTCCCCCTAATAGTGAATGTAAAAAGAATCAGCTTCTATTAATCTTTGCGTACAAAGTATTAAACTCACATGTATTTGTACACCACATAAACCACTTCATTGAACTGCATGTCATCCTGAGTCATGGGGCAATTCATCCTCTTACCTACAGGTACAAATATTAGGCTGTATAAACTGACCTTGAGCAGGATTATGTCAATCTCGGAGTATTTCATCCCGTTGACAAGCACCGGAGTGAGCCTGGAACAGGGGCCAAAGGAAACATGATGAGAACAAAGGGCAAGGATAGGTCAGAGGCCACGGGCAATCTATCACATGTGATTCCTGCTGTGGGGGCACTTTAATGTGACAGCGTGCTGACAGATGTTACAGCCGAGGTCAACAGTCAGGGCTCTTAATCAGCCGGCTTGATGTGAGGAAGAAGAATATCATCCCAGTACAAGGTCTTCACCAGCTAACTGTCAAGGTTGCTATGAATCAACAGCTTCTAATATTAACACTCGAGTGTCAGTCTGTGTATTGTGGCAACGTGTGTGTGTGTGTGAGTATTCTTACTGAGAGAGGTGTCCACACAGCACTTCCTTACACACAGGCTGCTCTGCCAGAGTAAGCCAGAACTCACAGGCCTCCAAGGCGACATTTTCATCTTGGTCCTGAGTCCTCAGTAGCATGTACTAAAGAAAATGAAGCAAATATCTTATATACTTTTATATTAACAAAACTTCATATATTCTTCTAAAAATCCCAATGCAACACCAGCATGTCCGTCCACAGGGCGTTACAGGAGTTATTACAAAAAAGATTGTCTTTCTATATATTTTTAGAAACACCTCCCATTAAAAGACCAAAACCAACGGTGCATTATACTCTCAATATTTGCTTACTTTAATGCCATGTCTGTGAATACATACTTTAAAAAGTATTTCCTAAAGCAGCTGAGTACTGTAGTTTTAAGCAAACGTCACTAAAACTGGAGTAAACTTTGGTGAGCAAGCATTTCTAAAACCTTAGTGTTTTTTGGAATGAACTCAAATGAAACTGCAGAGCTTATGATAGAGAAAGAACCACAGTGAAACGGTGTGGCTCACTGATGTGTCTTCAATCGTTTCTGATAAAAAGATGTCGCTAAGAAACTAACTTGATCAAGTTTTGGCTGGACAGACAACACCGAGATACGCCAGACTAAAAAACACACATATTCATTCTACATCTTTTTACCTGTGTTTGACTAATCCTTATTTAACCTTTGTCACATTCTCAGTCTTCGTCTTGACTCACTGACCTCTATGATGTTGAGCATGTGTGGCAGGAGGCGGTCCAGACGGACTTCCAGCAGCATGACTAAAGCTCTGCACACATTCTTCCTCACCTCCGGTTCCTCATCTGTCGCCAGTGCAAACAGGTTCTACAGAGGATGAAAAAAAACTCAAGGGTCATAATGTGGTCTTTCCATGGTGTGCAACAGCAATAACTAACACAAACAATACTTAGAATTGCATAGCATTTGAAACACAAAGTGCTTTCCGGAATATATATGAATTGGGTTGGGCTAAGTAGCATTTTAAGTAGCATTAAGTAGCATTTTAACAAAGGTAAACATTTCTGCAAAACATCTTATCTGTGCATTTTGTATGTATTTATATTTGAAGGATGGTATATCAATTGGTATATGATGGTTACCCCGCTGATGGTTGCTATTAAAACACCAAGTCATTTGTTACACTATTAGATACAAAAGTTTCCTTCAGCAAAATATTAGATGTCTGCAATATTTTATATATGCACTATGTTCATCAATTAAATAAATACATTAGGAATATAAATCCTTTAAAGAAAATGTTAAAAAGGGACGACACTAAATCAGAAGTTAACGAATGACTTCTAAAGATGATAAGGCAACTAAGCATTTATTTTGGTCTTAGCCGGCTTCCTTTTTTTCAGTCAGCAAGTCGTTATCTAATGCTTTTTCTATGCTAAACGACTGATTTCCTAGAAGCAAGCACATTTAAGTGGTGCTATTGCATTACTCTTTGTTCAGAAACTCAATGTGTCAATGTAATCGATGAATCAAATAAATAATAGAAGTGTTAGTCAACCTATAATCTAGTTAAGGAGAAACCAGATGAATCCTCAGTGAGCAGTCAGTAAAGTAGCTTGTGTTAATGACCTGAAGGGTGGGAGGTCATTCTCATTGTTGACATTACATTACATGACATGTCACTTGTTAGACGCTTTTATCCAAAGCCACTTAAATACTCAACACTGTGGACAATCCCCACAGGAGCAATTTGGGGTGAAGTGTCTTCAGGGACACAACGACATGCTGACTGCAGTGGGACTCGAACCTGTGACCCCTGATCCGAACACCAATGCCCTACCCACTGCGCCACACGCCTCCCTGACAGACCTTCTGGCTCCATATATACTACGTTCAAGCTTATGGTTATCTTTGTATCCATGACAACGAAGTGTAAAGATGAATTACTGTCACTTGCCTCAATGAAAGGGTCGATGTGCAGCATGAGAGCCTGAGTCCGGCTGATGATGAACTGATTCACGCAGGCAATGGCATGAGACCTGCAAAACAATAACCAGCACTTAGTGAACACAAACACATGCTTTCCTCACATGTCCCACACTATGAATGCTCCCCCTGTCTTCTTCTCTGCCACCACTGATTTAACCTCCAAGTATGAGGAAGACTTCTCTTCTTAACAGCCTGTGGCATTACTACAGTCTGAGGCTTCAACCGTGAATCTATAGAGACCTTTAGTCTGTCTTGTAAAAATAATGTACAGTCAAGAGGATATGTATATCTGCTTAAAACATAATCATTAGTCGATGATTTATTTAGAATGAGTTCAAATAGGTGGCAGATAGAAACACTCTTAATCATAGGAAGGGGAAACAAAGAAATGATTTTTAGATTGTAAATACAACAAATACAAACATTTTGGGGAATTATAAAATCACAGAACAGCACAAAATCACAAACATATGGAAAATAAACAAATGATCATACATCATCAATACAAACGTACATTTGTATTCTAATGTAATATCACCAATGACGTAGCATTACAACATTTACCTACGTAACCTAGTTAAATAGGAACAGGTTTGATTTAGATATGATTTCACTTTACACTTAATAAAGTTTAAGGAAAAAAAACGTATACGATACCTAATCTTAGGACTGTTGTGCTTAAAAAACTGCAAGAACTTGGGGATCATGATGTTGAGAGGACGATCCAGGAGGTCACTGTCCAAAATCTCAGCAGAGTCCTCACAGATCTTCTGCAGGGCTCCAAACGCTCCCTGAAGGTAACATTAAAAAAAGGAAAAAGATTGATAAGAAAGTCAAGACAGCAATCCTCAAGGCAGGCTACTCTGCAGCTATAGTCTGCGGAGGTGGGATGAGTTTCTGTTTACCTTCTTTTGTTATTATGAAACCAACACTTTGCAATATATTCTCCATATCATTTAATATGTGTTCATGTTGTTTTGGCCCTGCAGGGAACACATGTAATAACATCTCTGTTTACATAGGCATGGGGCATATAGAGGATGTTGTTCTGCACAGTGGGAGCTCTCACATATGTATTCATCCTCCTCCCTCACCCATGATCTTCAATAGAATGCATCCCCTTCTGCTCTAATAACCTTCAAACAGTTGACACACACACACACACACACACACACACACACACACACACACACACACACACACACACACACACACACACACACACACACACACACACACACACACACACACACACACACACACACACACACACACACACACACAGTTAGTGCCTGTATCACAATATGCTGCAGACTTCAGTGTCTTTCTCACAGAAATGCAGCATGAGAAGAAGACTTAAAAAACAGCATTGACACCGACGGTGTCTGAAATGGGTTTCCATGGAAACCGTTCCCTTGTCAGCATTCCTTTCAGATGACAGATACAGAATTGTCTCAAAATGTGCAGGAGCCAAGCGGATGAAATAACGAGGAGGGGATGAGGAGGAGACTGTGTCAAGGTCACAGAGAGGAGGAGGCAAAGTGTAACCAAGGGCAAACAGACGTTAACCTCACTTATGATACTCAATTGAACCTTGATAAATAGGCATGCTTTTTGGGGGGTGATATTATGCATCTCTCATTTAATGAGACTAAAGAAGGTATGATAGTATTATAGGCTTTGAAATGAAACCACCAGATATAGAAATTATGTAACTGAATAGTACTATAATAAAAAAACTAATGATGCCTGATTGAAGAATTGTTACAAAACGAATGTTCGATAAGTGTTGACATTTTTTTAAAGAAGAAAATCCCCCAAAATGTTGCCCCCTTCTAAAATGCAAAGATGTTCTACCTTTCTGCATTTTATAATTCCTTTTTACTCAATATCTTGATTGTTGTTGTTGGACAAAATAACCTGAAAATAGCAGCCTGTATTCGTAAATACGTAACAGCCTTGTAAATACAATAAAACCCAGCTTTCCTACAAAGCAGAATACTAAAGTAGTTGTTTTTAAAATGAATAAATAATTCATGCAGTTTTAAGCTCTTTGCACTATAATATTCATAATAACTCATCCCACGTGAAAATGAGTGGAACCGGACAGAAGAGTGCTCCCACCGGCGCCACGCTGTCCGTGAGTGGACGGAGAGGGGCAGAGAAATGGGCGTGGCCTCAGAGCATTCCAGTTACGCTGAAGCATCTAAAATGTAATCCTCCCTCCAAGTCCTGCTGTGGAAGGTCATTAAACGCCAGAATGTAAGTCATGCAGATGACAGCCAGCCGGAGAAAAGAGAGGCATGCTTTTAGAAAACCAAATAGCTCCTTCAGACTCCGGCTCTGAAATGTGACACATGTCTCGAGGGCTGAGGACGTGACAACGATTTTTCATATAATCGTTTTGCTTTCCGGAGAAAACGTCAATTCGATCTACACAACACCGTTCCAACTGCCATTAATCTCAACAGTAAAACTGCTCTCAGGCAAAACCTATATTAAGGCATCCACCAACATTACACTCGGCGTCCAGCACACCTGCTCCTGTCTTTTTATAGAGCTGGAGAGAGGGCTACAGCGTGGAGGCTCCTAATGCATCTGCTGCTCTGAAACCCAGAGAAAAAGACCTATGGTACTTCTGCTGCAGAAGCTGCTATTACCTAGGCGTGTTGATTTGCTGTTTATTACAGAAATGCATGTAGGTTTTTAAAAGATTATTAAAATAAGACAATGTCATAATCCAACCCAAGTAAACATATCTGTTAATGTTTACAGCTACACGTCTGGATTATATCAGGTATCCAATCAACCCTCTGCTCCGCCGTACATGAGCAGACATTAGCTCAGTTTGAGACCGTTGTGTGTGTGAGGATATTTCAGTCACAGTGATGAAGATCCTCTTGCATTGATCTGTTGTTGATCCACAACACAGAGGACATGTTCTCCTGATCAAATGGCGCAGGGCCAACATGTTCCTCGTTGCTTATATTAAGTGCACACTGCTCTGAAACCCAACACTGGCAGCCACCAAACATACTCCCCAAATAGATATCAAAGTGTGGCAGTAATGGTGTGGATTATTTCTGGGTCACGATGGCAACAGTCATCACCTTAAAAGTTAGTTTGGCACGACATGGATACACTAGTGGATTTACAAGATATGCAGAATCTGACATACATTCTCTTAATAAAGCAAGAACTACAAACAATTACACATTTTCCAGGACACTTGGCAAAAACTGTATTCATTTAGTGACAATGCACAAAATAATTGTGCAGCTTTTTTTGCCACTACACCGGCAAAAGTTAGGAAAAAAAGAAACAGTGCAATTCGCAAAACACCTAAAAGGGTGTGAAGCCGATTGGTCTCGGTGCTCCTTTGCTATTTGCACGTGCTTAAGAGAGGTCATATGGTGGGAAACTGGCCTCTTTCTATAAAAATGGAACCCAAGAACACTCCAATTCAGCACTGATTGCACAACGCAGTTACAGTGGAATCATTGGCATCTTCAGAGAGCTGTTGCTAACAACGGAAGCCCATTCAGACTACAGGGGTGTCTGCTCAAACTAATTCATTCTGACATGATGCAATGGGGTTTGTGTCGTGACAAATAAAGCTCCCAAAAGAAAGTCACTTAAAATACATGAGAAAAAACACTAAGGTTACCATTCCTCTTCCTCATTTCCTAAATCCTTGGCTTACATTTGTATCTTTCCTCGATTGTTCTGTGGAAGCGGCACTCGAGCAAGTCCTTCCTGACAACCCATCCTGCCTCAGGCCGACTCCAACACATTGCACTCAAGCGCATTTACAATGTTATTTTGCCACGTGGATAATACAATCAGATGCAACAAAAAGAACAAATTGCACTCCGCTGCAAAACTTTATGGGCTACTTCACCCGGTAACAACATTAGGGCGATGTCTTTGTGAATCGGACCTTGAGACAGGGCAGATTGCAAAAGAAGCACATCCATGGTGCTACCAGCAACCGCAAACCATTCATTGTGTGAATTGTGAATTTGCCTATTAGTTTATTACATTTCATGTATTTATTTAGCTTTTTTCAGGAAGAAATAAATAGAAATGCAAAACATATCAGCTTTCCAAACTTTATAATAAATAGCCAAACGCACTCAAATCTTCTTAAATAAATAGTTTGCACTTTATATCACAAGATAACAAGACACTTGTTCTGATCCAGCACCAACTTAAGCATCTTCAACATCAAACGCTAAGAAGCTTTCCAAGCTGCTTTTCAAAATTATAGGGAGCCTTATGAGGAGTTGCAACATTTGGTCGCGTTCAGTGTTAAGCCTTGTACACACATACACTTCAAGATCCTCTGCAGTAAATAGCTGACCTAAATCTCAGCATCTCAATGAGCTTTACAAGAGAGGAGGCTGACTGCTGCATGGAGAGCCATTTTCTGTCACAAGTCTTCCTTCAAATTCAGTCGGTACATTCAAATAAATGGCATTGCTGCTGTAAGGGGTGATGAGTAGCTAGTACTTATTTCCTGCCTTTTGGACACAGCTGAATTTACATTGAATTTGTAACTTTTTTTCTGTGTGTTCTCTTATGTAATGTTTCTTCCTTTTCCTATAGAGTCTGATGTCAGAGGCACATGCAGCTGACAGCACATTAACGACCAGTTCATGTGAACCTAAGCATGGGTTCAACACCATTACACAGATCAGGTGATCCAACACCCACCACTAGCTACTGTACTCTCATTACAGTGGCCGTTGCATGGAGCATTTAACCCCCAACATCAATGTTGTCACTACACAAGCACTGATATGATCAACAACTCAGGACATCAAGCACTTCTACTGTATGCATTGATAAGAGCTGACGTACCGTAAAGCAATCACATGGGTCTAATATATTTCCAGGATGCAAGAATTGGATTAGGATGGACTACAAAAGATGGCATGTGCAGCAAAGAACAGAACAACACACATTGTACTTTGCTGATATGCATATTATAAAAGCTATTCTGGGTATTGATGTTAGCGAAATCAGAAAATGGGGTCAAAATGGTTCTGGTAAAAAGGATAGAAAGAGAACAAACGATTCCATGGTGAAAAATCTGCGGTTCTGGCTTCCCCTCCAGCTGTGAGGCTGCCTTTAGCTCATCTGGCCAGCAGGATGCTATCCAGATGCTGCTTTACAGCTGACCCAGCTCTGCTCCCGTCCCATAATAAATAAATAAACAAATAAATAAAGAAATAAACAGCGAGTCGGCGCTGCGTGCCCAGACATGCCTACTTATAGCCCGAGTGTGTGATCACAAATGTGCATACACTTAGTCTCTCTCTTTCTTCCTCACACACACACAGCTATGACAAAAGAATAACTAAATAATGTTTAAGCAACCAAATGTACCGCCAGCACCAATTAATACAACTAACACATACCATACCATAATATCTTAAATAAGCCAAGTGTAATCTCTCAAATATACTGCAATATAGATACTGGTTGAGCCAAAAACACTATCATGTTTAAGTTTAATGCCCCCAGATTAAATTGCTTCAGTAGACAACATAGTGTGCTAAACATTTTTTATTTTAGTATGCCGACAAATCCTGATGGTACACTGTAGATTAGCAAAGCATGAATAACTGCGGCAGCATTCAGTTTTGAATTTTAATCCATATTTAATGCTAATTGAGTAGTCAAAAGATTTCAGATGTCATCTAATACCTCTGATTTATGCAAATGCTTTCTCTCATTCTGATTACGCTATAACAGATAGTAATTTATACAGAAATATATTAAGGTTGCTGCCGAATTAATCCAATCCAAAGACTTCTTGCTTTTAAATCCCTCTCATTACATGTAAACCTATAAAAACAGTTAAGGTATACGATGCAAAAAGAAAGTAGAAATGTTATCTGTCATGGTTCTTCAGTACAGTATAATGTCACTCTAGATGCTACCACCTACTATAGGCCCCGTCTGATTAGTTGAAAATCCCACAGCCTTCAGACCTTCATCTCCCTCTTTTATCCTTACCTCACATGTGTTGTAGTCCTCAGAATCCAGCAGCAGGCAGAGTTTAGGTAAAAGCTCCAGCCAGTTTTGTAGCTCTCCCTTTGAGGCGATGGTGGTAATGAGGATACCTGTAATGTGAAGGATTTCATATTAGTTAGAGCGCTGTGACAGAAGAACAACTTATGCACAAACACTGTTTCCTTATGATACAAACAAAACAAAGAACATGAGTGAAAATCAATACAGACTTTCAAGATCACATTACACTTATTGACGTGTAGGGATAGGCTTCATATACAGTCAGTTAGCATTGTGAATGAAAACTGTCCTATATTTTTTTAATTACATCTTATATTTATCAACAGGAATCTTCATCCCCAGATAATAAGCTCAATTTCAGGTTCTTATTTGCATTTAGTGCCTCTCCTGTGCTTTCATGTTCAAAAAGCTCTTTATGTTTCTCATACTGCCTGTGCTGCAGTCTGAAACCAGAGTCCAGTCGGCTCTCATTGGTTAGCTGGCCGGCTCTGTTGTGATTGGTCAACCGCTAGGTCTCTTAGCCTATCACATACAATGTGATTGAGCGGTAGCCAATAGAAGTGCACGGGTTACATAGTGATGTCACTATTTTACGGCAGGGAACAAAGGAGTCCATTTGAGGCGTTTCAGGCAGGGGGAAACCACAACAACCATAATAGGGCCTCTTTACCTGCTTTGTCTACTGCCAAACATCACACAGAACAATACATCCCTAAAAGCTGCTTTTAAACATCCTACACTACAGTACTGGGGAGGATATGTGTTGCTGTACATATGAACATGCGAGTTAGGATGAGTGATCATTTAATTGAGCCTCAATTAAAGCAGGCCATTCCATTCAGCGGAGGATGTAACGTACCCACGGTGGCCCGGATGAGAGGAGACGAGTCTCCGATGTTCTGGAGGCACTCGCTCTTAATGAAATCAGACACGCCATTAGGGAAGTTCTGATAGTGAGCTTTCACATTGTTCTTCAGTATCAGCCCACTCAGGGACCGCGTCGGTTCATCTGGTGTGGGTGGAGGAAAGACAGATAATTGAATTGTAAACTAACAATTTAGTTGATCACAGGATATTGTTGCCACTATATTATTTTTCACTTAACCCAAGCAGAGGAACATAAACAGCCTTGCTTTAACAGGGAAAACAACAAATATTTAAAAGAAACAATTGACTTACACTATGTATTTTCCTTGTAACTTGGTGTATAATATGTGTGTGTTGCATCTGAGCTAGGAGCAGTAGTGTTACAGCATCCTAAAATGTCTTAACACCACTTAACATTTCGGTGCTCTACTGTGCAGACAGTCAAGCCAAGTGTTGAGTGTTGCCAGGAATTAGGTTTAAAATTAGAGTGACCCATATTCTGTGCGCCACATCATCTGTGGCAAAGATGCCATTGGGTCGCGGAGTCATGGCCAAACAGAGCTGTCACTGAACAGTTACATAAAATTGACATGTCTGACATTCACACTGTCCAGTACCGTCAGGTGATCTAGGAACACAGCACACACACACCGCAAAATGAAACTGAGATTATAAGAGAGGGCTTACCTTCTGATTTTAACTTTGTCAGAACAAATATCAAATAGTTGTTAAAATCGGGATACTGGTTCAGCTGCTCGAGTCTCTGGGAAAAGTGGTTGAGGAAGACACTGTACATATGGATGTTAAAAGGCTGTGAGAGAGCACATCATCACTGCAAACCGTCACAAAGTAATAATGGACTCTCTCTTCTGAAGATGTGTAGAAAGAGCAAATGTTAAGCAGTTAAGTGCTGTAATGAAACAGTATAATGGTGTGTGAGGGGGAGAAGGTGTATGGTTGTAGAGGGGGGTCATAAATATGTCATATGACGTGACTGAGTCCTGTACGTCCCCAGACAGATGGCGTATTTAGGGCTTTCACAGCAGCTTGCCTACAAGTTAACGATGCAGTACATATATGCGTTACGTAAGCAAATCATTTAAGATCAGCGTGCAACAAGACAAGACTCACAGGGGCCAGCAGCATGGAGCAGTGGATACTAAATGTTCTCTAATATCAAATCTGCAAGGTGACAACAGAAGATGGATAATGCATTTTAAATGTTACACAACTGTAATTACGAAACTACACATCTTCCAGACAGCTTCCCTGCTTCGTGTGTCCAGTCCCAGCTGCAGTGAATATATATTTCTAATGCTAGCTGATTAGGCTGGTTGGGTGCGCCATTATAGTCGTTTGTCAAACATGAATTGATTTTTCAGTAATCAGACATGGAAAGATTAAATTAATGTAACTGCACATCAATGAATGTGATTTTTTGTTTTTCACTCTTTGTAATGCTGACCGGGTTAGTTTTCTCAGAGTAGTATACTCATTTATGATTTATATTCTGATTACATTTGATTTGAAATGTGTCCTATCATAAGAAAGTTTGATATGTTCGGTGCATTTAACAACACAAGTAATCTCTGCTTAAACACAATGGTATTTGCATAAAAACGTTGGTGTGCACATTTTAGTGTGACAGCCAGATATGTATTTTAAAGACCGGTGATTATTTGTACCTCAGATAATTTAGATGCCATATGTAGGCATGTTTATAATATCATTAATATCATCATCATCATAAGAGAATTATTATAATACAAGTGCATTTAACCTGATAATTGTCTGCTTGCTTTGAAAATATGCAATATTTGATATTTTGCATGTAAAATATGCAATATAGAAATGTAAATCGAACATCACATAGAATTAACAGCATTTTGCTCAGTGCCATAATGGGGCATGCATTGGCTGTTCATTTATTTGTTCGGTGTATATGGCGATTAAAGCTGCTGTATCGAGCCTACATGCGACGTTTACTTGTACAGTAGCGAAATGTTTTATTAGCCTGACATTGTACATCAATATCCAATGTTATAGCTGTCCATGCAGCAGTCATTTGAGCACGGCACGGACTGCTTTGACTCTATCATCTTGGAGACAAAAAGCACCGACCGGTAAGCACCTGCGTACCTGTTATAACGGTAATAACCCGGGCTAGTATTATAACATGTAACAAAGCATGTGTTATAATCCATGTCTGGCTTGAGGAAGGATACTTGCTGGACCGATCTCTGTGTGGAGGTATCTGGCGACTGGGACTCTTTCAGCAGCTGTAGAATTTGTTGAAGTCCTTGCTCGTCTGGCTTCCACTCACACTCCATCTTGCTCTACTGCTGCTGCGGATAAAGAAATAACATTGAGGATTTGTCATCAAACGCCTCACTAAACGCGTACCCATAAAACACAATAACACGTTAACGGTGCGTTATTTAGACACATAACCTGGTTTTAGATACACAAATGTTCTTACCTGTCTTGACTGAGCCGAGTGAAGCTGACTTTCTGTTGAAAAGTGACCGTCTGTCTGGGTTTTCAGACATGGGCCTGTTACAGGATCCACATCCGTTTTCGCAACAAGCTGAAAAAGCTGCGGGCCATACAGACGCAATATATCTGGCTGCCTCATCAGCTGACACACGGCTGCGAGGTCCTAGTGCTAGACGTGTTTAAGCCAAAACATGTTCACTAATCAGTATACACTGTTAATTATTTATTATCTTTACTTCATTGACATATACGTGAACTCAATCCAATTTAATAAGAGGCAGATTAGCTGTGAGAAAGAGGGTAAAAGGTGAAGCATAGAAGCGGTTTTTAATGCAGTCCAACAAGGTTGCATAATTACGATAGCAGTGAAGGCAGCAAGGCTTGTCTGAAACCCTTTGGAGTTCATGGCCCGTTTGTTTATATTAGGGTAAATGTTCAACATTGACATCTAGAGGCTCTTTGTGTTATTGTTATGCAACGAAACAACTAGACAGGATTTACACAAATGTATACAATGTACTTAATTTTCGTAGCAACACTAGATACCACATACTTCTTCTGTTTTATTTTGTAGGAAATACAATGATTATTCCACACAAATTATAATAAAGATATTGAATAAATAATATCCAACCCAGTACTGGAAGTATAACAATTTCCTAGTTACAGTAAGTCCATGGACATTGCTCTTGAGAAAAAATGGCATTAGGTTATTATTTTAAGCAGAAACGGTGGCATGGTAAGCACAATTTAAAAAAAAATGTAAATGTTACATCAACATATTCAATGACATAAAATTGTTACAGAAATCAATTATATATATTTTTTGTTTATTTATTATTATGTCTTTTTTCTCTAACCTAATAATGGTTGCACTTACAAAAAAGTAATCAGCAATGTCCGTGAAGGCAGCAGATACAGTATTTCAGTAGCGTGAATAGATACAGGACGTTTTTTCTTTAAATTAATTAATTTAAAAGAGCAGTAGTGTTGCATATTGAGCTCCACTAGATGGCAACACACGACAGAAATGTGTCGAATCTGCTTTAAACGTCAGATGAAGAAGTTAGCATTACATTCAGTACGCTGCTGCCTCTCAGCGTACAGAACAGCATCCAGTGGACCAGTTCTCTACACAATTTATGTATTTTCTTTCATACGGACGTGTAGACACTCTTATTACTTTCAGCTAAAGTAATAGTTATTTTTGAATTTTTACAAGGGGCACACAAGAAAGCCAGAGAATCACCGAGGACGTGTGAGAGTTTTTAACAAACAATCCCTTTGGTCTGACCTGCTTGTTAGCTTTTTTGCCAAGAGAGTTATTTTTCTACGGTCCAAGGAAACATGAGCTTTCTTTTGTGAGTAATATCTTTCATAAATACTTAGTTGGACTTGCCATGTTGTTTTATATTATGGAAATATCAGAGATGTTAGCGCTACAAAGCTAGCTAGTTAGCAATAGCATAATACGGGCTGGGTCTACTTGCTGGAATCACATCCGAATGTGTGATGTATTACTTTAATTATTTCTTATATTTTTATGGTTTTAACTATTTAGCATCTATAGTAAATTATTTGCAACCCCTTATTGTTCTGCTTAAACACTTTTAAGATAAATCGTACAAACGCCAGAGCAAATTGTAACTGAGAGGGGATGTCTGTCCGGCCTAGATATTTACTGGAGCGGACACTTTGTTGCCAAAGGCTAATCCAGCAGCCCTGATGTAACAACACAACGCACAATTACATATTTGACACCAAATGTGATCAAAGTAACAAAGTTGTTTCGCTGGTATTTCTAAAGCAGCACAACAATACCTTGTTTATGGGTCAAATCAGAGGGTGGAGGGATAACATTAAATGTTCCCTCTGGTGAGGATGTGACTGTTGAGTCGAGTTAAAAGCCCTCAACCTCAGAGACGCAACAATCAAATAGGTCAATTTACACTACTTATTTCAGGTACTACTGATCTGAAATTGATCTAAACTTCTGACAAATAAAGCCTTTAAAAAAAAAAAAAAGTTGTACTATAATTATTTTACTCAAGAAAAGCTCCAGTTTTGATTATTTCCAGCTGATTCCTAATTAATCGTGTTGCCTCAAGCACATTTCAGCAGAATGAGAAGTTATGACATCAAGGCATTTGATTGCTATTAAACTGAATTAAAATGTTCTCTTGATTTATTAGAATATACAGTACATATCGTCATATAGTGATCTAGGATGTTGATTTTGAGATATATAGATTTGAATGCTCCTATTAAAGGGAACACTGTTTTTTAGTTTGTGACCTACCATGTTGTGATGACTCAAATTCTTGTTCAATGGGGCGATGAGAGGGATTGAATACAGCACCCCTCTCCAAATGGCCTCATTAAACACATAGAGACATACTGTTCCTGTCCCCCATTCTCATTCTGCCAAACACACCAAGTCAACAAGAGCTCAACTCTTCTGTCAGCTTTTTAAGAAGATACTGACTTGATGTGAGCAATAGTCCCTCACCTAGGGCCAGGGGCACTGTGAACTCACGATGAGTCATCATATCTGACTACCTTCTTATTTATCACACTAACTATCTTCCTGTTTGCAATGTGACTCATAGTGGAAACCGTTCATCCAAGACGTTCAAGCCCAAGAAGAATATCCCGGAGGGTTCGCATCAGTACGAGCTGTTGAAACATGCAGAGGCTACACTGGGTAGTGGAAACCTGCGCATGGCAGTCATGCTGCCCGAGGGGGAAGACTTAAATGAGTGGGTCGCAGTCAACAGTAAGCAACAATCTGAACTTTTTTACCTTCCTTGATACACCCTGTATTGATTGGTGTTCCTGGAGTGAATGTACGATACAGTGATACTTTATTGTCCGATCATATCTGGAATCTTTCTTGCATCATAGAAACTCCATTAGCAACATCAACAATGGTGGCAAATATTTAAGAGAAGAAACAAGGAAACAGATTTAACAATATGTTAGATTTGACCTGGGATTAGGGATTAACTCTGCGTTTAATGTTATGATTGACTGTTGCACGAAATAGTATTTTAGTCTAACTTTATTAAATCCTGGGACTCGGTGTCTACCTTTTTACACATATTTCATTTTTTTCATCTGTTCCCTCACCTCTTAAGTTTTTGTATTTGCATGTTACTCGGTAATCCTGCTCCTGAGATCGCAATTAGTCGGCATCAAGAATCAGTTGAGAGTGAACTATCGGGGTGTAAGATCTTGGCATCTCCACTGAGGACCCTGTGCATTCATGCTGGAAAAACCACTGTGAATGTTAAATAGACCTCATTGTCTGTGCTGTGAGAGCTTTGTTTACTTCTCTCTGAATCGAGACAAACGACTTGTCCGTGAAGTTGAATTTCCTCCTGCCTTAGAGAGCCCTTAGGGTTTGAGATGTCTAGTGTCTAAGCTTGTTTACAGTAGAACATCAAATGGTAAGGATTACAAAGTTATTCTGATCATTGACTTGAATCTCTTGACTCGAGTCATTGCAGTTGATAAGGATGACTTGCGTATTTTTACAAAATGTTAACAGAAAATGGAAGGCAACAATTTAGCGCATTCACTAGCATTGTTGCCAGGGAAATAGCTTGACTGCTCATTGCAAGATTTGTATTCTTGGGTTTCGTATCAGGTTAGTGGAAACGCAGTAATGTTAGTCAATGCTACACAAGCTGTTAAAGCTTAGCGTGCACAATAAAGGGAAGTTGGAATACAACCCTGTGCATAACAACGTCTCCCACCACTATGTTTTGATGGTATTTCAATGGATAGCACCAAAAGTTTCATGGCTAGAATATGACTGTGAAGGTGTACATACAACAACTCTAGTTTACTCCCACCACCGCGCACCTATGAAGTTCTGTAGAGCTGTTGTCTCTTGTCATACACCTCTTTGTCTTTCTTCGCTCTCGGAAAACTCGGTCACGGTGACAATTGAGTTAAGTTGAGGGCATGGCAGAGGCCACAGACCTGAGGTTACGTCATTTTTTGAAACTTCTTTTCAAGCCTTCATGTTGCTATGAATGCAAACTCTTTAGACAAAAATACCTTTATTGGAGACTGCGTAAACCCAGTCATTTAAACATGGCGTCCCCCTACGCAAGACCTCACACTTCACACATCAGCTGTTCAATATGAATTTTTCCTGTGAGATTGGCAAATGGAGCTCCAACACCAACGCTGCCAACACTTTAAAAGTAACTCTCCAATTGATGGAGAGCCAGACTTGGCTCTCTGCCTGTGGTAATGAGTGATAACACAATTTGTTCCTGATAACTGGGGTCGGTGTGCACTGTGTACTTTGGATAGGGGTAGTGGAGTGGGGGGGATGCCAGCTGTATGTGCTGTTAGGAAAGGTATTTCTCATGTACACTCGATTCCTATTTGCTCTTTTGCCTTTTTTTAGCTGTGGATTTCTTCAACCAGATCAACATGCTCTATGGCACCATCACAGATTTTTGCACAGAGGAAAGCTGTCCAGTCATGTCTGCTGGTCCTAAGTAAGTTTGTTATCTTTTCAAACCAACCACAAGCTTTGCCTCACTCATCTTCCTCTGTCATGGCTCAACAGGGATTGTCAGTCAGACAAAAATAACCTCAATTAGCATAAATGTGACAATGGAAGTTATATTCATATTCATAATACAGAAGACGTCATATAAAACACCTGCCCTAGTCAGCAGTTGCTGCCAGGATCAGTCCATTATGTTGAATGTTTTACAAACTAGTGTTTCACAGGGAAAGCTGAGCTCACAACATCTATGTTGACTTATGAAAGACTGACCAGGTCCATATGAGTAATAGAATCGCATCACCAAAGTGCAAACCTCCCTGAAGGCCAATGTTGCATTCGTGTGCTCCTCAGATCTTTAGTTTGGAACTTGATCACATGCTTTAAGTCGTGATATTAAAACAACATGGATGCTACAAAGGAGATGTGTAACATTTTATTGCTTAGAGTATTGAAACAAGACGTTGATATCTGTTTCTGAGTTGTTGTTCCAACTTGAGGAAATGTAGAATTTTCCCAGTCAGGAACTACATTTTCCAATTATTGCCAAACGAAGCCGGCCAGTCGTTGTTTTAGTAATCCTGCTGACAGACACCAAACGCACAGGCAGCTGAGTCTCAAACATAACCTCCCTGATGCAGGGAGTGATGTGTTTGGTGACTTTGCATCAGCCTTTTGTAAAAGAGGAAGTGAAACTGAAGTCAGAAACAGCATGGTGTTGCACACTTCATGGACGTCAGTGGTAAATGATGGTGAACCTAGATTGAATTCATTCATGTTTTTCAATATATAATGTTGGTCATCTACATTTTTCTTTAGATACGAGTACCATTGGGCGGATGGAACCAACATCAAGAAGCCAATCAAATGCTCCGCTCCCAAGTATATCGATTACCTCATGACCTGGGTGCAAGACCAGCTGGATGATGAGACCCTTTTCCCTTCAAAAATCGGTAAGATTAGCATTGTCTTCATCTTACCTTCTTTATATTTGTATTTGTGAGGGTTTCATATGTTTTCTATTACTGCTCAGCTTTTAACGAGAGAAACATTCATAAAGCTGCTGAATGCGTCATTATGTTCTTGTGCCTGATGGTTTTACTCAATACTTAAAACACCTACTATACAATGAATCTGCTTGCAAGATAAATGAATATTAATCTAATTGAATTGAATTTACGCATTTATATAAACATTGGTAACAGATCAATATGTATGGCACAAGCTGAAATGGATTATTAGTAAAGTCCTTAGGGGAGATTGTCTGCGTTGTCATCAGCTGAGCACACATAAATACATCTTTGTGCTTATTTGTATCACCCGAAATATATTTCACATATATTCCAGATGAAGTTATTTAGAGTTGCCTGTAGTGGACCATGTATAGGCTCATTGAGAAGAGTTTGCCAAGGCACAC